TGGATGTTGATTGCTCCACTAAGGAAAATAAAATTATGCAGCCTGACCTTAAAAAATTATAAATATAGGATGTTGACAAATGATAATAAGCAACAAACATCTAATAGAAAAGGTTGGCTCCCAAGTCAATACTGCTGGGGAAGAAAGCCAGGCTTGGTTTTGAAATGTTGTCGTTCTTGACAGGTGCTGTCGAGTCCGTTCCGACTGCTATAGCAACTATGTGTACAACCGCATGAAACACTGCCCTGTCTGTGCCACCCTAACATTTTGATTGTGTTTGAGCCCTTGTTGAAGCCAGTGTGCCAGTCTATCTCCCCTAGGGCCATCCTCGTTTCCATTGCCCCTCTACTTTCCCAAGCATGAAGTCCTTCTCCATGGATAGGTCTTTCCTGACAGCATGTCCGAAGTCCGAGTGATAAAGTCTCCACTCTGGCTTCTAAGGAGCACTCTGGCTGTACTTCTTCCAACAGATTTGTTTGTTCTTTTGGTAACTCGTGATACTGTCAATATTCTTCTCCAGCAGGAAATCAAGTAATGAAATGTAGTCATCGAATATTTGGGAATGCCCTTTTCAAATATTCTGTAAACCCCAAACACAAAGGGGCTTCAACAAGTTCACGGATAATTTTAAAAGGTCACACCATATGCCCATGAATTTCTTGATGCTCCTTTCTGTGTCTGCCCATTATACGCTATGTAGAATTGTGCAGTCAGATGAAAATCCCTGTTTCAGAAACTTAATACCACGAGACTTTAATACATTCCTGGAAAAAAATTGTCTTTCCGTTCCCCCCCCCCCAAATCTTTTAAAGGCACCTTGTAAAACAGAAATCTGTTCTGAATTAACTATTACAGTGATCAATGAAGGATGAGGGGGTGTCCATAGTGTAAGAAAATGAAATCATCACATTGCCCAGAAACTTACGGTGGGTTCAGTGAGGTAATATGCTGGTTTGAGCACACTTTTCTATTACAGTGAATGTAATGCCAGTCAATATTGAAGAAAACCAAATGAGATAATATATCTCTTCACTCTCAGACAGTTTCATATTTGTCTTACTCTCTGAAATTTATGCAGCAGAGTTGGGAATTGAATTCGCAATTTTAAGACTTTCTATTTAGCATAATCAAGAAGAGTTACTCGCCATGCACTTCTATGTAGCGATTCATTCCATGGCTCGGGACCTCGCAATCTGTAGTTCTGCTCTAAAGGATACGTAAAAAGAAGCATTGCTCGTAAAGTTTTGACCCATGTTTGGCCAGGTTTACGTTGAACAAACCATGGTTGTGTTTCTGTCATCAGTAGATGGCTGCAGACAAGTTTCCTTAGTGAAACACTTGCCTTGGTCACCTTTTGTGCCACGGACAACTTTGAGGTCAAGGATAAGGAATCGTTAACAAAACTCTAGTGGACACATTCCTAAATCTTGGAAGCTTGGCAGCAAGTTGACAGGAATGCTGTCCCATATGAAACAGCAGTGTTTAGATGGATCGAGTGTTTTCAGGAAGTCTGGGAAGACCTCAAAGATAAGCCAAGAGAGCAAAGACCATCCACCTGGTCTGTGGCTGAAGTCCAGAAACCGGTGGAAGGAGACGGTGGAATTATCGTCGATGTTATAGCTGCTGAAGTTGGGATCTCACAGGGTTTAGCGTTTTCAGTTTTTCACCAACAGCTTGACCTCAGCCAGCTTTTGGTTTGCTGTATGGGTGCCGGAAATGTTATGAAAAGACGAGCCAGCTCGAGCAGTTTACATCAGTTCTTTAAGCAGGGCAGAAGCAGATAGTTCCATAGAACCAATCATAACCAGGAACTACTCTTGGGCACACTAATATGATCCCGCGAGCAAGGTCCAATCAAAACAGTGGCTTCCAAGAGGATCTGCTGGGTCAGTTAAGTTCACGGCAAGAGAAGTCAGCTCAGAAAATTATGGCAAGTGGGGTTTTTTTGGGGGTGGGAGGGCAAGAGTACTCCAAAGGGATCATCTTGATAGATTTTCCCAGAGGACTATTAGGACAATGTTTTAATCATCACTAGGGCTTCTTAGGACAACGTGTTAAGAAGATTGGGAACTGCGCTGGTGAGAAAGAGGCCCGGAAAGTTGCCCCAAGGAGTTATTGTGGTGCCATCACCACTAGGCACCTGCTCGTCCTTGGAGGGGAGCGAGCGTTGTGAGAGGAGGGTTTCCTTGGGAAACCTTGCTCTGTCAAGCCCACAGCCCTGATCTTGCCTCCTGAGACTTCTTTCTGTGCTCAAACCTCAAAGACCCTTTCACAGGAACCTCCCTCGGGTCCCTCAAGGAGGCGGCCTGCTGTTTTGGGGTGGCGTAAACCGTCGGGGAAGGCTTGCAGAGATGGCAATCGTACACTCAGAAATGTCCAGCCCTAGCTGGAGGCGATAGCAAGAAACAAGATTTCACATTTTGACATTTTGGTCTAATGAAAGTTTCGTAGCAATACTGTTTATACTTGTCTGGGTTTAAGAATGGACTCAAGGACATTCAACTACATGAATTTTAAAAATCCAGAGTATTTCAACCAGGAGATTGAAGGCCTGTTACATTTATACCAACCGAAACCTGTTTTTATGATTGCACAACATTTACCTGAACAGGGAATTTGAATGTGACACATCAAATGGAAAACAAATGAGTAGCGAAATACATTTATCTTGGGCATCAGCTGTTCGGTTGACAAAAGACACAAGTATGAAATTTGTCTAAATAATTAGATTTTTAATTAGTGCATCATTGTAAGATTAATGTCATTGCGCTCCATTGCATGTAATTTCGTATTAGAAATTTCATGTCAACAAAGATGCTACCTGTGGTTTACTGATTTGAATCCCTAATTTATTTCTTGGGTGTCTGGCACGTCACGTGTTTGCAGCCAAGGGCTGGAGGAAGGCGTGTGGTCAGAGCGTCACGGGGGGTTAGACACACTGCTGACGTTCTGCCACGTGAATACGTTTTATTTTCTAGTGTTCTGGGGGTGGCCTTCCTTAGTAGACCGAGCAAGCGCACATTCACTTGTGGGAGCTGCGCCAGACTCTGAAGCACAGCCTGCCCTGGCGGTGCCTGTGCTGCCATGTTATCGCTGTCAGCTTTGAACGTGACGCTTTGTCTTTCCTTTCTTTTCTACAGTTGCCGCACAAGCAACCGGAAAAGTTTGATCGGCAATGGGCAGTCACCGGCCTTGCCCCGGCCGCACTCACCTCTCTCTGCTCACGCAGGTAATTCAGCTCGGCTTTTGCTGCAATTGTGTTTACGACATTCAAGCAAACCTGCACACAAGCAGGCACTTTGATAGTTGAGCGAGGGCTTCCATCTTGGTATATCGTGATTTTCCTCTTGTTTTACGCAACGTTGTGCTTTCTGATGGCTTAATGCCGACCTTAGCCTTTGTTTCACAGCGGGGATTACAGATTCTAGAATTTCTTTTTCTAGAGCTCAGCCCTTTTTCATGCCGGTCGTTCGCTAGGTCTACATTTTGGGACACTGCAAGACAGATGTCCATATTATAATTATATTTGGGGAAAAAGAGACAGTATGGCTCCCATGAAGAGGAGTAATGCTATAAACCTGTTCACATTTTTCTCCCTCAGGTGCACTTGTCTGTTAAAATGACTGATATATTGAGATTGGCCTGAGAGAGACTACATTCCTCCCTAGATGGGATCTCTGGCCTTATTAAACTCATGGCATTTTAAGGACAGTGGATCCATGTGACAAAAACTATGCAGTGAAGCCTGCCCAGGTCTGCTGTTAGTTGTCTATGTTCTGTCAAAGCTGGGAAAGAGGAGCAAGGCTTTGGCAGGTAGAGAAAGGGAATTCCCGATGTGTCCTTTGTGTGGGGACCGGTCGAGAAAGGGAATTCCCGATGTGTCCTTTGTGTGGGGACAGGTCGAGAAAGGGAGTTCCCCATGTGTCGTTTGGGGTGGGACGATGACTGTATACGAGGAGAGTTAAACCAGGCTGATGGAGGTCAGAGAGGGGAAGAAGTGTTTTCTTTGAGTGGATTTCAGGGGTTTTTTGGAGCATCCGTTTTGGGATGACAGCCTACATAATATGAAAGATCATGGATGGGACGGTGGGGAGATGAAGCCCCATCTACATTGCACTCTCCAGAAATCTCTTGGTCTGCTGCTGCTGGGGTACTCTCCGGTAATGGTGTTTTTTGACTTGGGTTTGAAGGTCGGGCTGCCACTTTCTCCTCCAGGCAGTCCTTGAGCCCAAGGGGCCTCTTGCCCGAGGGTAGGAGTTAGCTGTGGTATGTCTGGGAAGAAGAAAGAGGCAGTTACATATCTCTTATGACATTTTACTTTGCCCACTGCGAGCAGAAAAAGGGAGTGTAAGCAACAAGTTAAATTGGGAAGTTTACAGTACTCTAAGAACTCCACTGAAATCCAGAAATACCACTTGGAAGTAAAATTCTAGAGAAAGCCCTGTCCCCCCACACAAGATGACAGGCTCTGGGCTGTACACAACACATTGCTAGCAAGAGCTAAATATTGGACACAACCTAAAGTTCAACTGGGAAATGCAGAATGTAGTCATACGTGAAACACTGCAGCATAGAAAACAAAACTGCTCATATTGACATGGATGGAACACAAACACAATGTTGTACAAAACAAATAGCAAACAGTTATTGTTTAAGTATGATGGTCCCTCTGGAAATTTAAATTTAAATAAGCGTGTGACCCGGCGGTTCCACTCCTAGGTGTAGATCATATGCTGAAAGCAGAGACTCAGAGAGACCCTGTGCACTAGCACTTATGCAGCACTATTCACCGTAGCCCAACGGTGGACAGAGCAAGTATGTCTCCACAGACAAATGGGTCAGTCAGATGTGGTACATGCAACAAACCGAAGCAAAACCCACTGCTATTGAGTCCATTCCGACTCCGAGCAGCTCCCTCTGCAAGGTCTGCCACACTAAACATCTTTACCGCCTCATCTTTCTCAAAGTTGCTGCTGGGTTTGGACTGCAGGCCGCAGCCCGGCACCTCGCCCAGAGTGCCACCTGGGCCCCGTGTTGACATAAAACAGAAAATTATTCAGCCATCAAGAGAGAATGAAGTTCTGATCCGTGTTCATAACATAGGTGAATACTTTAAGGTGAATAACATAAATCAGACCCAAAAGGACAGGCACCTCGTGATCCTACGTACGTGAAGTATCCAGAGTAAACAAGGGTATAGATACCAAAGTCATTAGGGGTTTTGAGTGGGCGGCCGGTTGAAAGGGGAGATGGAGAGAGATTTTGCGTCGTGCACACTAAGTTTCTGTGAAAGGTGATGGAAAATGTGAAAGTTGTTTCAGCTTTTAGTATTTCTGCTTTTTGAAGGAGGTTTTTCTATGTTTGGTCTAGTCATTGTTGTTGGTTTTCTCTCTTGTGTATTTGTTTGCTTCCTGTATGTGTTGTGTATGATTTTCAGTATATGAAATCCAGGCTTGGTAGATCTATAGAGACAGTAACTAGATTGACAATTTCCTAGGGGCATGGCAGGGGAGGATGTGTGTTGGGGGGCGGGGGGGCGGCGGATGGGGAACTTACAACGCGTAAGATAAGAAAATGTTCTGAAATTGATTGTGGTGAGGATTGCACATATGTTTTTAATATAATTGAACGATTACATTGCATGATATGTGAAGGATATGCCGATAAAACTCTTTAAAGAAAAAGGCGATGGAAAAATTTTGAAATGAATAGTGGTGAAAGTTATGTGGTATGGCGAACCTGATACCGCTGAATTGTACACAGATGATTGCAATGGCAAATGTTTTATTATATGAGGGAGCCTTAAAAAAGCTCATGAAAAACTGCCATGGTCTTCCATGTTTTTCACAAACATTTGGAAGCCCTTGAAATCTTTTCCATCACAGAACAAAGTTTAAGAAGATGGATCCATATTTTAAAAATCATAAAGAGTATCATTTAATGGACCCCTCTAAAGAACACAGACATGGTTCACCCTTGACTGTTAACTCACAGGTTGGTGGTCCGCACCCACCCTGTGATCATGGGGGAGTCAAGGCCTGGTGACTTGCTTCTGTCGGAAGGCAGCCAAGGCAGCCTGTGGGCCAGGGCAAGGCCTTGCTGTGGGACACATGGGGTCACCTGAGCCGGCCTGGCTGGGAGGCCACTCCCAGCTGTGGTGCCTCTGTTGTGAGAGTCTGAAGGAAGCCTGTGATCACCAAGGCGATTCCAACTCAGGGCCACCCCAAGGGTGGAGAAGAGGAGACCTGGTGCTTTTAAAGACCCATTTTATGGTAGTAGAGGGAAGGACTGTTGTCACGAGGTTCACTGCGACCATAAAATGGGTCTTTAAATCACAGTGTTTCTTCTTCTCTGCCCTAGGGTTCCTGAGTTGCAATCCACTTGATGATAAAGGGTTTTAAAGGGACTCCCTTTAGACTCTCACTACAAAGGCCTGGTCGTTAGTTGCCGCCCAGTCTAGACCCTAAGGGGAACCTGATGGGGTAGTGGTTATGCATTGAGCGGCTCTTCAAAACCACTAGCCGCTCCCCGGTAGAAAGAAGAGGTTTCTGACTCCCATCAAGAGTGACAGTCTCAGAGGCCCACGGGGACAGTTACGCCCCGTCCTATGAGGTCACTCTGCGTTGGCATTGATTCATGGGCAGAGAATTTGTTTGTTTGCTTGCTTTTTTTTTTTTTTTTAATTACCTCGAAGAAGTGAGATGGATAGGATTGGGGGAAAGAGTGAATAGTTGGCCATTTATTTTTAAGGCTGCATGGCATAACCGTTTTTTATGCCTTTGAGATCTCTGTGAGCACACCTTCAAGGTACTGGGGCTGGGATCCCAACCATTGCAGTCAAGGCACGGATGTGAGTTGTAGGTGTTCCCACTGCACAGAAAAGCTGTATTTTCACTGTACTGTAGTCTGCTAACAGCTCCTTGGTGATGCAGTGATTATGTGTTGAGTTGCTAACTGCAAGGTCAGCAGTTTGAAGCCACTATCCGCTCCAAGGCCGAAAGACAGGGCTTCCTGTACCTGTAAAGAGTTAATCACGGGGGTGGGGAGGGGGCGCAGTTCTACTCTGTCCTGTTAGGGTCGCTGTGAGTCGGCATCGACTTGACGGCATGCGTTTGCTTTGGTCTTTCAGTAGTCTTCTAAGTGTGCAAGGGCATGACGAAGACTTTTGAAGTATCGTGGAAATTGCCAAAGTGAGACCAGAGACAGGACAGCAGGACATTGACCCAGGCTTCCGTCAGCGTGATACAGATTGAGTTGCTCAGTGCAGGGTTGCCACCGCCCTGCAGTCTGAAACATGCCATTCTCGGTGGAGAGCAATAAAGCGAGGTCTAATGTGTGACATGAGCATGTCAGAGTCAACCAGAGTCCAGAAAGGCCACTGCGCTCACTCTCGCAGCCACCGAGGGCATTCTGATTCAGGGAGACCCTATCGGACAGCATAGAATGGCCCCTGTGGTTTTCTGAGACTGTAGCTCTTTACTGGAGTAGAAAGCTACATCTTTCTCCCACAGACCTCTGTGGTCTATTGGGTTATGCTTGGCCCAATTGCAAAGTCAGCAGTTCAACACCACCAGCCTCTCCTTGGGAGAAAGATAGGCTTTTTATATATAAGTTCTTGTATATATTTCAATCGTGATAGAAACATGTTTTGTCTCACTCCTTTCGGTAGTGCGCTGTAGTCATTGCACATTCCCATCAACTAGCCTTTTATTGCTGTGGTTTTCTCCAGTTCTCATATCCACAGTGAGGAAACATTTGGTTAAAGCTGTCACGATCCTTTTCATTATTTTTATTTTCCTGACTTAATGTGAGCATGCATTCGTCTCCCTTTAGCTCTCATTCCAGTGTTTCCTGGGAGAGGTGGGCAGAGAGAAGCCTCCCTGTCAGGTTCGGGCGTCAGAAGTGGCATTGATCCCAGTCTGCCAGGTTCCGGTTTCTGTGTGAACAGGACAAGGAAGATGTGTGTGAATAGAGGACCTCCCGCGTGGGCGATGTGAAATGCCTCTTGCCTCTTTCTGTCGGTTGCTGCATTTTCTGCTTTGGTGTGCTTTACAGGTGACCAGGCAAAGGTGCCCTTGTGTCTCGTGCGGGGGAAGAAGCAAGAGGGAGAAGGAGGGTCCTCTCGGTGTGTCCTTATCGGAGTCCTGGTGGTGGTGGGATTACGCCCTGGGCTGCTAACAGCGAGGGCATCATCAGTTCAAAACCACCAGCTGCTCCACTGGAGAAAGAGGAA